GCATATGACTTTCACTACAAGCTCTACTTTAGTAATTCTTTCGTTTCTAGGCTGTCAATCTTTCATATATCTTGCCAATTTACTTTTCAACAAAATGGAAACCCTTGCTTTAGCTCTTTTAGCTATATAAATGAGCAAACCCATCTAAATTTTGGGTACCTTTTCCTTTCGTTTTTGTTTCACTAAGAGCGACAATATCCATGTCAAATCTTTTCATTTTCTGCAAGACTTCCAACTTTTTAGTTAGCAGTTCTTGAATATTCCATGAACCAATATTCACTGTCCGTTTTCTATCACCAAGTCTTCGTCTGTTGAGTGTCAGGCTTCTTCAATTGCTAGGTACGGAGAAGTGTTCGGTGAAGTGTTCTCCCCTAGGGGGATTGCTCCTCCATGTCTACGGGGCCAGCTAGTTTGGGAATTTTTATTTCCCATGTTGAGTGACCCAACCCATTAACACTGTCCACTCATCCGCCCTCCAACTTTGAGGCCGTTGGCGGACAGGGTATAGTCTAAGTAGAAATAAGACAAAACAAATAAGGATAGCAAGACAGATGAGTAAGTTGAGTAACAGTAAAAGAAAATGTGAACATAAAAAAGGAATGACTCCCCCTCGAAATCTAATAGCGTCGGGGTCGAAAGCACAAGGAGTCAAGAGAGACCAAATAGGAAAGAAAATAGAAGTGTAACATAAGTAAGTGGAAGCAATGCTACACTAGAGTCCCTCCTCCATTTTCCGGGCTTGGGACCGTCATTGTCCGCTGTCGCTATGCTTCTGAGCCCACTCGCGACGCAAAAGCATCGCAATAGGGCAAGTAAATTCCAGCGAACACAGGCGGAGTTTTCACAAGTACGTGTTTTCTTATAAATTCTTAGTAAATACACTTGCTATAAATGGAACTGTTTCTCAGTTTTCATTGTTGTGGTTTTATGAAAGGTTCTTTATTGAACACTATTGCATCTGTTTCGATTACATAATAGTAGTTTACGTAACAAGGGGTGATTCGAAAGTAGTATACGTAACAAGGGGCGTAACAAGTAATAGTAGTTTACGTAACAAGGGGCGAAACAGGTGATTCACGCACGAGTCGAGTTCGTCTTCTGAGCATAACGAGGACGACAAAGAGACGAGTTCGGGAATCACCTTTCTCTCATGTTGCGTATACAGCAAAGTCTGTCTAAACCGTAACCTGTACAAGTCGAAACCTGCTTTGACCGGAAAATTTCTCTGGCCCGTGAAGTTTATATGGTAATTTACACAGCATAAAACGGAATCTGTCCAACGTGGAAACGGAACGGTTTTTCATGTCCTTTAGGGGGGTCTTTAAAAAAATCCTGTGAGTTTATTTCAATTATTAGAGATGTGAGATATTCTTAATGTTATGAATGCATCTGCAAGTCTGTTTTAAATTCTCTGTCCTATGTGATTTAGTCGTGGCAATTGCACTATGAAAGGGAAAGACTTCGAGATAAAGGCTTCAAAAATCAATGTTCAAATCTCTGCATACAACAATGGATACAAAAGAGCAATTGCTGACTTGGTTTAGAGTTAGCTCCAGTTTTTCTAAGAACATGTTATAAACTGCAGATCGCATTCGTGGTGGCCTGTAAATGGAAAATAAGCCGACTTTTATCTTAGGAAGTTGTACAATAGATATTTCAAAAACATTTTCAACGGAATACTCATGTAATTTCGTCAAGGAGATTTTCAAGAGATAGGGTTGCCACCTCTTTGGGTTTGACCCTCTTTGGGTTTGAGTCTCTGGGTTCACAGAAGTAATCTTCGGGCTCCGGTTTAAAATGAAAAGATCTCAAAGTTATAAGAGCTGTGTTGCCAAAACGTATACGGAATTGTTTGGTAGATGTATGTGATTTGATGCGCATGATAGCGGTATTTCTTTGACTGAAGCATTTATAATGTAGAAGAAAGAACCCGTTTTCATATTAAAAATGTTTCTTCTTCATGAAAATTATTATTACAACATAATATTCTCAATATACAAGATTTTAAATTCAAAAATACATGGAGTGAAAGAACGATGCATTTCAAAGCCGCCAAGATGCGATAGATACGATGCCAAGATTCGAATGCGTAAGTTAATGAAAAAAATCATTGAATTAAGCACTCAAATTGAGTTATTAAAAAATTATAACAATTAGAAAATACACTTGGAAGTAGATTTTACCAAACATTCTATAAAATATAAGTTAATCTAATAAAAATACTTTTGTTATTGTGATTATAATGTCTAGTAATACTAGTATATATGATCATCGCTAAGTAACAGTATGATAGATGTATGATTTGATGACTTTAAGAATATGATCATTGCATAAAAATTTGCTGCACCAGTTAGTAGTAAGTGTAGTATTAATTGTAGTAGCTCGGTGTTTTGCTCTTCCGCAAATGTGACTGATTTCTATGTGCTGTCTTTTCATTTCACTTTCAAAATCTTTTTGAACACTTCTTTCTTGGCATGTGGCGAGCGTCTGGACTGGCTTTTCAAACCCATGTGCCCATGTTGTTGTCACTTGGTTTATGACGTATCTGATGTCTCGAAGGAGCAAAAATCAGTGTGCCGTAGCAGCTCTCTCATGTCTTTTCATGATGTATAGGAACATGATTTATCCACTTTTTCTCTACGAGAGACCCTCAATACGAGTTTTTCTGACAAAAATTCTCCCTTTTCCGCTACGGCGTAACACAAACTTCTCTTTACTTCGCAAGTATGTAGGATGACGTGAAAGTAAAATAGTGGTGCTTCTGCTGCACATACTTTCTCGCATTATTTCTAAATTTGCAGGATTCGAAAATTCAGAGAATTCAACGAAAATGAGATCTGCGCCATTATTTTAAGCGTTCTTTGTTCTAACCGTGGAAATTTATATAAAACATTGGAGTTCTTTTTGAGAAAATATGTTAATGAATTGTATTGACTTCAAACACAAATTATGGGAAAAGTACTCGTTTTCTTTCGAAACATTGTTCAATGCCTTTTTAAAGAGCTGCTTTTATAGAACATTTCATTTACATAACATTTCATTGTAATTTTCGAAAAAACGACTTTTGTGTGACGCTCTAATTGTTATCCCGTATTTTGTAACTGCATACGAAGAGAAAATTTTAAGACACCTAGTGGTGCTACAATAACATACACTTTCTCGCATTATTTTTAATTTTGGTATTTTCAAAAACTCAGAGAGTTCAACGAAAATGAGACCAGCGCCATTCTTTCAAGTATCCCGTCTTCTGTCTGTGGAAAGCACTTAAAGAATAAATTTGGAGCGGTTTACGAGGGGAGCTATGTTAATTTTTTTAAATTGTCTATATTTAGCGCCAAATTACACAAAATGTACTCATTTTCGAAAAATTGAACATGAACTTGTTTAAAAATCCGTCTTTAAGGAAAATCATTCAGGAAGAAATCTCTATCTTCAATTATTATAACATGAGACCTACACCATTCTCTTAAGCGATCTTTACGTTATTCGAGAAAAATGTTTGATCAAAACATTTGCTGCCATTCTTGAGAAATATTTGAAATGTTTTCGAGGCTTCATATGAAGTACCTTCAAAAATCAAAATATCCGTTTGAAACTCCCAAAGCTTCGAGTTAATTCACATCGATTTGGGAATAGCAATTTTGAATAAAATCGGCTTAACGGTTTAGGCACTAGCGTTGACCACAGACGAACAGTCAGACAGAGGTTTTTCCGTCAATCAATTTTTGGGTATCATGGACCCACAAAACATGGATTCTGACTACATCACGTGTGGAGAATTTTTTTTATATTTAGCAACAGGATATATCCATTTTTTCGTTATCAGGCTCGGCATTAAGCATTTTTCTGCCGAAAATTCGCCATTTCCAGCCCACGATTACATGACTTTCTCTTCTTACGTAGTACCTTCGTAAGGGCGAAAAAGTAAAAACTGAAGGAGTTGGTAAGAACATAATTCTTTAAAAATTGCCTACATAGGGTGTTTCAATAAGGCTTTACGAGTTTGAAGGCTCGTATTGATTTATGCATTTAACTTACTTATATGTGTTTGGTCTTAATATTTAGAGAAATACATCAAGTTTTACTTAACAGATTCAAATTTTCCTTGAGCAGATTCAATGTGGCTTCTATTGATCACGCGGCACACATTCCGTCTGATGTCGATTTGGTGTCGTATCAGGTGCAGCTGTCAGGCGTAACGTGATCAAACGATGTCCTTATTGGCACATCCTGTATTTCACACAAAATTATGCGGACATATTATTTTTCCGAAAAAAAAATCACATGACCTTATTTCAAGATGTCTTTTGACAGACTTCATTAAGAAAAAATCTGGAACGTCACTATTGTAATTGTAGGAATACAATGAAAACATTTAAACATTTGACAAAAACCAGAGATTTCAATGAAAATAAGACCTGCGTCATTGTTTGAAGTGTCCTTTACGCTATCCAAGGAAAAAGTTTAATCCAAAAATGTGAAGATTTTTTTGTAACAATTTAGAAAATTTGAGGCTTAATGTAAATTTCCCCCAAGCATCAAGATATCCGTTTGAAACTCAAGAGGGCCTCGAGTTTCTTGAAATTGATCGAGGGATATTAATTTTTAAGGAAATCGTTGTTTGTGTCACTCACTGACCACTCACAGACAGAAAGTCGTTTTTCCGTCAATCGGTTTTTTGTTATCAAGGATTGACATAACATAAATTGTGACAACACAGCGTGTTAGAGGAATAAATTTACTATTTATGGAACTAGATTTATCCTAATTTTTGTTACCAGAGCCCGACAATAAGTTTTCTATCGAAAAATGTCCGATTTCCGGCACGATTACTGTCTCTTCTTGCAATGTAAGGGCGAGAAAGTAAAAGTAATGTTACTTTGTTACCTATTTTATATTTCGTAAACAATATTTTATTAACTTTGCATGAATATTTTGTTTATGTAGATAAACTTATTTTTTTCTATACTTCCAACATTTCTTCTTCTTCTTGTTTCAGGTCAAAATACTTCCGCGGCAAACGGCTGCAAAATGATTTCGACATTCGTGTTGAGCAAGCAGAATTTAAAGAACTTACTTTGGTGGCGAATGCAGATTCCGGTACTACTATCAGCATGGCTATATTTCGCAATGGAACTAAAGTCGTTCGATCATTTCGACCAGATTTTTTATTGATAAGACAGAATTTGCGTGATGCAGGGGAAGATTACAAGAACCTTTTACTTGGATTCAAATTTGGCGGTGTACCTAGCATCAATTCATTGCATGCAGTGTATAATTTTCAGGTAAGCATTGCACGATGCTTACCAATTTACTCATTATTCTGAGATTTTTTCGTGGAATAAAGAAATGCACTATTATTGTGAAGATATGAATAAGTAATGTAATTGTAATCTGTTGGTTGTTAAAAAGACTGAGATTCTCTTCATGGTTTAGAATTATTTTATATAATCTAATTGATATTCGTTGAAATGTACCTATTTTAACCTTCTGTACAGTGTTGCGCAGGGTCTTATAAAATCCATGAAAATTGCACAAGGGTTGACGCGACTTTTTGAATGTACAATATTTTTTCTTCGATCTCGACAAACTACATGATTGTGTAGTTTAGCCTATATTATATTTTGGAATTAACGCGTACACCACTAACTACGATCAATTGTTTCTCAATATGTACTTAATTACAAAATTCCGGTTTTGTTTCATTTAATACTTTGAAAGGCTTTTTATTCTTCTGTAAATATTTAAAAAGTAATAAATATTTCATTTAAAAAATTATAATAATAAATAAATGAAAATATCTAAATGAACTCGATCATAAAAAATGAAAAACTTAGGCGCATTTCGTGTCCAATTTTTTCGAAAATACAACAAGAAAAAAGTGGGCACTGCACGAGGACAGTTCTAAAAAAACAACTGTAAGTATGAGCTCTCCCTGCCCGTGCGCCACTAAGGAATTGTGTTCGTACAAACTTTGATCAAAGTGCTGAAGAAGTATAAAATGAATGACCGTCTACTTTATTAGGGTTTCAAGAAATATTAGTATCTCACTTGTTCACTCTGCCCCCAGAAGGAATGGGTGCCAGCAAACCAATTCAAGTACTGATTTTATTCGTGTCTGCGAAACAATTTTACTGCTGGGTTCCTTTGTGTCCCAGAGATGAGGCGCCTTCCTGACCGTACAAGAGAGCACTTGCCAAGGGACATGAGTACAATTTTCTGAACATCAGTCCCAACACGCATCTTGTTAAGTGGAGGCTGCTAAAATCTATACTGTGAATCATGTGTACATTGTACAACATAAGTAACGATAGATACGACATATGCTTCAATCCATGTAATATTTCTGATCACAATTTTATGAAGAGTAAATCTTTAAACCGAGAGAACCGCGATTTATTAGTGAAACTTGATTTAGAGGAGTCATTAGATTTGAGAATTTGTGATTTATACCAGAAAATCGTTTACTTGTCCTATGGTTCAAGTGCACAATACAAAGAAGATACTATGAAGAAAATTTTGGAGTTTGCGCAGAATGGCTCAGAAATGGCGCAGAAATTTTTTGCGACGTCACATGGTGAAATCCATGCGATGGCATTAAAGGAACTGTTAAGAGACTTGCCACTCGAACACTTGTTTGTGTTGTCAAAATCCAATTACAATGCCGAAGAAACTATTTGATTGAGGAGAAAGAAGTATTTACTGTAAGATTTCGTTTATTTTTTCTTTAGATACACACAGTCATCACAAAAATACACGCGCACATATATATATATATATATATATATATATATATATATATATATATATATATATATATATAAACATGATTTTAAGTTTCAAATGGAATTTCAAGTGAGTTTCTATAATTAATGTATTCAAGTACGTAATATGTACTTTAAAGTGAGTGATGCGCGTCATTTTTATGAAATTTAAATATGCAATACTTCCAAAAATAAAGCGAGTAAAAATAAAAACATAAAATACACTGTTTTTTGTGAAAATTACAACACCAAGAAGGAGACATACTATTAGAATTAAATGTATCCCACAGATTAGGAATATCACAATATAGAAATGATTAGAATTCCAGAACTGTACCTGCATTTTGACCATGAGTATTTTTTATACGGCGTGAAGCCGCCACGTGCTGCCATCACAGCCTCTAAACGTCGTGGGATTGGTTGAAAGAGAGCCTTGATATGCTGCTGGGGAACACTCTGCCACGCTATTTTTGTATGTGGCCACAAAGCATGGACAGTAGGTGCAGAAGGACCAGAATGAACAAGTTGCCAATTGATCACATTCCAGACATGTTCAATGGGCGACATGTCAGGCGAATGTGCTGGCCAGGGAAGCATTGGTACTCGTAATCTTGCACATTCCTCGCCTTATCTGGTCGGGCATTGTCCTGCTGAATTATGGCATGTGGAGCTGCTTGCAGGAGTGGCAGTACTTGGGGCTCTAAAACCTCCTTGTTGTTGCTGTTCAGATTGCCCTTATAATGTGTGAGGCGAGATCGCGCAGTGTAGCCAATGGCGCCCCAAGCCATCACACTTGACATTTGTCTGCTATGGTGCGGAACGATGCAAGCTGGCAGATTGCGATCACCATGGTACCGACTACGTACGCGGCAATCGTGGTACCACAAATTGAAGCGGGACTCGCCGGAAAACACTACATTTCGCCACTCAGCACACCAGTGAACACATTCACCTGCCTTTTGCTGTCTAAAGTTCCTTCTTCCTCAGACGCCTCAGCAGACGGCGTCGAACCGTCGACGAAGACATGGACGCACCCGTTGCAGAGCCAACATCTCGGCCGTTCTCTCGGTTACGGCCATGCGGACAAGATGGCGGTCATCTCGCGATGCGGTCACATTCTGTAGTTCAGTACCCGCTCATCGGTGTGTATGATCCTCCTCTACTTACTGGTTCCACACGCATCACTGTGTTGCAGAGCGCCCCGTTCTAGTCGCAATGTCACGGCACGACAAACCCGCTTCCCGGAGACCGATCATTCTGCCCCGTTCGAACTTACCTAGATTATGATTTTGCGCCCTTCAGCGTCGATGAGGCCGCCAGCACTCGCTTGCACGTTTCCACGTCGTTTGGCGGCTCTACACCGACCGACTGTGGCGTATCACTGTCCTTACGTCTCACACATAGGAGGACGCTGCTAACTACAGTGCACGCCATCTCTACATTTATACGTAATTTAATCACTTCTTATGGACACATAGCTCTACACATCGGCCCATTTTTAAGTGATTCCGACCATTCCTTCTGGGTGTTGCCTTCCGTCTGGGTGTTCTAACAAACAGCAGTGTAATTAAAAATATGAAGGCCGGCCCGGATAGCCGAGGTCACTAAAGCTGTAAAGCCGTATCTGCCTCGTACCTGAAGGGTCACGGATTCGTGTCCCGCCCGGGACATGGATGTTTGTGTGTCTATGATTGTAATTGTCCATTCATCCGCCATCATCATCATCATTTCGTTCCTCATCCCCTAGGGTTAACAACCTTGGTGTGTACAAATGGATTCAGTACAGAGATGTTGAATCCACCCAAAAAAGTCACGTGCTCTTACCCCAGAAAAAATATGGCTGAGCCTCGATTGCACGTTCGTGTGGTCCTAAGATAACCGGTTCGCAACAAAAAGTAAAGTTTTGGTCTTTTTTGTGCGATTTGACTTGGAATGGGTAGTATATTATTTATTTAATTTCATTTCATTCTACACATGTTTTTAAATATACGTATTTGCGGGACGTTTCATCTCTACTGTTGAGAAAGTTTATACCTATCGTCATTTATTCCCATTTACATGAATGTGACGCCTTATATTGACAATGCTCTATTTAGAAAAAATATTTCCGATGTTAGTTTCATTTTGTATTTCATACTACCCCTACATAAGTTTATATAATTATCTCATGTCTTCCACAAATGAAATACTAAAAAGAGATAATTCAATCACAAATTTTGTCATATTAGACGTGTTCACACAAGTGGAAAGCTTGTTTCCAAAAACGAATATGTTCACTTTTTACCTGTCCTAAAATTTTGATATGTTCACATTCTACATTGTTAATGCTGTCTGTTGTTTCTGATGTTATTTTTAACCAAAACATTCTAACTCAAATTTAAATTTAAATTACTAATTTAATTTAATTCTGGAAGTTTTGTCCATTTCCATAAGACTTGGTTCGTGTTCAGTATACAATACTAAACCGTTTCATACCGACGTAAATTATTTTTTTTATCAAAATGCATCTTAAGTAGATATCATAGATTAAATGTCTACTAGTGCTCATTAAACACTGATAATTTTGAAGTATTCTCGTGTGTGGCAAGCAATGTTTCCCTCACTCGACAATTTCACCTAAAACGCGGAGAAACAACTCGCAGTTCCGTAGTATATGCCCCGATGGACTCCTGGCACAGTTGGTTGGAATTTCACGCTCGAAAGTAACATTTAAACTCAAAATACTCAAAGACATTTTTTTCAGAAAAAACTGTATCTGCACTTAATACATTTTTGGCTATCCGGGCTATCCGGGATGAGCCGCGTCTTGGTCCATTGTGTTGACGTTTCGGCCATCTTGCTATGGCCTTCGTCACTGCTGAGGCTGCAACAAGATGGCCGAAACGTCAGTACAATTGACCGAGACGCGGCTCATCCCGGATAGCCACGAATGTATTGTCTCCGGCCGCGGAAGCCTACGAACGCATGTATCTGCACTTCATACACCATAAACTTCAACACAGAATGTGGGTTATTTTGTTGTAACGGAAACTTCCTGACGTGTATACAATTTTCATAGATACTCTTTCTCAACGTTTTTTCTACTATTATATTTAATGTGTGCTCATCCCCGGTACATAGGCTGGCTATTGAAGTCTCGTAATATAATAAATGGCTTTGGAAGCTGATCAGACTGATAGTTTAATTCTCCCTGACTAAATTTACAGCTATTTGGAAAATAGACATTACAAACTGTCAAGTATAGGGAAATTATATTCTGATAAAAGAATATTCTGAAAAACAAATATTCTATATATGTATTCAATGAAATTTCTTTAGGTAAGGTATGTGCCAAGGCAAATATTACTACTTCCCCACCAGCTATTCTTGTTTGATTTCTGTTTTTTTAGAAGTTACAATATCCTCTGACCTGAGTACAGTGGTCATAAGAAACTTTGTTTCCTGAAGGCATAAATATATTTCATTAAATTTATTATTACCTCGATGTTTTCTAGTCTTCTATAGTATCCATTTATGTTCCA